CGTTTGAGTGGAGGAGAGTAACACAAGACTTGGGAAAAAGGAGGGCCACTTGAAATGCTTACAATAGCAAAACTGATTAAAAATTAAGGTACTATTGCATCAGTTTTGGAATTTAATGTTTAATGTACATTATATGTGCCTTTTAAGTCAAATGTTGCATTAAAAATATCCAAATAAGTTTCATAGCTAATCATTAATAACCATTTAACTGACAACTGACAAAAAGCCCAACATTTTTAAACAAATGGCCGAAATTTTAACTGACAACTGACATTTGTACTTCCCCCCATCCGGACCCTCTTATTTCGATTTAAAGATACAAAAAATACAGGTTAATTAATATTTAACTTTTTGAAACAAAGGAAGTTAATTTTTAACTTTTTTGTTAACCGTAACTGAAAAAAATTAACCGATAGCCGTAAAATAGCCAAAATTTTAGCCGATAACCGTAAAAGCCACCACCCCATTGAGACCCTCTTGTCGGACTTACTCTCCGCCCGCACCAAGGGGCATTTTTTGAGCGTATAGATTAAGTGTAGCCACCCCAGGGCATTTGCCACCCTCCCCCCTTAAAACAAACAAACAAGCAAACAAACAAATGAACTAAGTATGAATTCATTTAGCCTGCGTAGCAAGCGTTTCCTTGCTGTTTCGGAGCAAAGGAAGACCGAGGAATTTAACCCTCGAAACAGCACGGAAACGCTTGCTACGCAGGCTAGAATTCATCACTTTTGAAGTTTTTCGCCGTTGTCACCGACAATTTATGTTTCGTAACGAAAGTGTGACGCGTGGATGACGCGATCTAAATAACGTGTCTTGCAAAGTCTATCAACGGGTCATTCCATCTTCCCGTATTCCGGAATACAAATACGCAAAAGTTTTGTTACAAATCTCTTCTACCATGATTCTTGGAACGTTTAAACGTTAAATACAATAGAATGTTTTATTTCAAGAAGTTTTGTAAATATTGCAACACAGTGAAAGCCGAAAAAATATTATTTATATTTCCGTAAGAGCCGGACTGATAGGGTCCATCGAACACACCCTGAAAAGCACAACAAGTGTGATTCGCAGTTACATCTTAAACTCTCAGTCGTTAGTTTTGAGGAAGCGGATAAACTGACGATTTCCGAACACTAGTACAGTTAAAAAAATGCACTTTAAAGAAAATTTTGCATGCAAATTTGCTTTGAATTCATCATCTGTCATTTTTATTTGTTCTGGCTGTCGCTTTGAACGCATTGGTTCGGTTACCAATATTAAATTTCAATTTGGTAATAAAGGATTGCTTCCAGTCGCTTTTGAGGATCTATGTTGAAACATACGCAGCCTCAAGCTCCGTAACATTTTTATGTTTTTCCAAGCAATGCTCTTTTGCCTCACGTCTGTCATCGCGGTTTGCGTGATATTTCTCCGGGAAATGTATTTTTTTTCTTTCGTGGGTCACACTTACCGGATGTAGTCGACTGGACATATTCCTTCGGTCAGATTTATAGTATAGTGTCGCTAGACTGTCGTTTTCTACCAACTTTTAAGGATTTTTATGCACCCAATCTGTTAATTTAACGTTGTAAAAATGTTTTCTGGCGAAGGTTGCTCCGTCAGAAAAAGACCGAAACAACAAGACGATTGCTGGTCTTATGTGATCTGTTTCTGTGCCACATTATCTCAAGCGTTGATCATGGGTATTGCTTTAGGGACGTTCGGAGTTCTCCTACGAGTTATAATGCAACAATTCAATTCAGGAAGAGGACAAACAGGCGAGTAAAAATGTCAGTCATTTTTCTGCAACGCTGTGGCTAAATGACCGGCAGCCGGGAAGGGTCTTGAGAACTAAGTGCGCGGCAGTCAGTATTTTTTTAGATTTTCATCAAAATCCCTTTTCCTGAATCGTTTGAAGGTATTCTAGCGTCATTTAGAATTACCAAGCGATCAAGAAAACAGGAATTGCGTCGCAGTTTAGCGGTTTTGGTTTCTTGGGCATATAGTGGAGTCGACGTTGTTTCGACACTTAGAAAATTTCGTGAGTAGCAGCGCGTGACTCACGGGCAGGTTTTCACACAAACACTGAATACCCGGCTGTCCGAAAGCCGGCTGGAAAGTTAGAAAGCCTCTTATTAATAAGCCAAAGGATTAGTTTCAGTTAGTTTCCCAAAGCAACAACGAAAACACAGTGCTTTCATTTTGACTGCTGGGCATTTACCTTTTTAAGACCCTTCCCGGTTGCCGGGCATAATAATAGCCACATCGTTTCTGCAAATGATCGAATAGAGCAGTAACATTCGGTGATATTGGTGGGAGGTCAGTTTGTACCGCAGTGCTCCCATTTGCCTTGTATTTTTCGGGGTATTTTTACACGAATCCCTTATAATCTGTTTCTATAACCGTTTGTAATTTTGTAGACTTTCAAAAAATGTCCTTCGTCTAATTTAATATGGCGCAGGGACGAAGGTCAACCTTTCGCGACGCTGCCGATCACTTTAGAGCTTAGCGACCTACAAAGTCCGCTTGCTTGCTTGGGGTCGACTTGTGGCAAGTCCTTTTATAGTAAATGTAATCGATTTACTTCCTGCTTTACGTGTGGTAGTACAACACGTATGTCGCATTAATGTTGCATTTTTCAAAGGCAATTTGCCCACCCCCCCCACCGGATTTGCCCTTTGTCCTTCTCGGATTCGTAAATTATTCACACATGTGCAAGTGAATAAGACTTAGAATTAGCCTGGAAGCCGTATTAAGAGATAGACCATTAAAAAAATTTATGGAGGGGGATCTTCGAAGTTTGGCCAAGATTTCCTACGTTTCGCAGGCGACGTTTGAGAAGTAGAATCTAACTTTTTAGATAAGGGACGGACTATTAGAGCTGTCACAGGGTCGTGGCGGGTTGGGGAAAGCGAAGTTATTAAAACTATTCGCATAGTGAAAAGGCTAGAAACAAATGCTGCGTTGACTCATGCAAACTGAAAACCTTCCACCCACTGCTCCCCCTTCCCATATAATTGTTCTAACGATTCATCCCTGTTGGTTACTATCACTACATGTCACCTAAAAGCCTATTTTATCTTACTGTTTTTTTGCCCACTCCTCAGCCTGGATTGGAGCACTAGCAGTGGGTTTGTCCTACTTTGCCGCACCTGCAGTGGGAGGCATGTCAGATTGCTTTGGTTGTCGTGTTATGACCATATGTGGAAGTCTCTTATGCGCAATAAGTTTGTTTGCAACCTCATTTGCCAAGTCAATCAGTCACGTGTTCTTGTCGTACGGCTTACTCTTCGGTCTTGGCGCGGCCTGCGTACGAACCTGCACTTTTCTCGTCGCAGCAAAACATTTTAATAGGCGACGTTCTATGGCAACGGGCCTGGTATCGTCTGGTACGGGCCTAGGGATTTTCGTTTTTGGACCCATTGCTCAAGAGCTATTAGGAGTTTTGGGTTTACAGAATACGTACCTTGTTTTAGCCGGTTTTGCACTGTTTGTTTGCGTCTTGGCCGTCTCATTCTCTTCTACAACTGAGGATACTGAAGAAAAATGTGATAAACACATGCAAAAGGATCAAGAGGCGTATAGTGAGAAAAAACTTAAAACAGGTTTTCAACGATGGAAAATTTTTGACTGTTCACCTTGGAGGACGCCCACATTTGCGGTTGTGACAATAGGTTATGCTGCTATCGCCCTCGGAGATTATGTGCCTCTAATACATTTGGTAAGTACAGTATTGCTGTCATATTATATTTCTAGTGTTTATTGACATGCCAAAAACCTCACAGTGCTTAAGGTCGACTATAGCTACCGAGCGTTGTGCCTCTACACATCTTCCCAATTGTCTGTTATAATAATGATAGTAATATTAATATTAATAATAATAATAATAATAATAATAATAATAATAATAATAATAATAATAATAAGAAGAAGAAGAAGAAGAAGAAGAAGAAGAAGAAGCACAAGAAGAACAAGAACAAGAACAAGAACAAGAACGATGCAAAAGTAGGTACTTCTCGGATTGGCACATATCCTCAGAAAAGTGCTGGAAGTCTGAGGTCTCGGGATGAGACTTGACTGGATATTTCTCCCCAGGGAAAATCCCTGTGCTAAATTTTACATAATAATAATAATTCCTCGCGAAGCGCCGAGCGAAGTGAGTTTAAAATCTCTATAATCTCTGTGGGTCCTAGCGAGCTGCAAACTCACAGCTCTCATCTTTACTTGTATATATCCGATGGTGTCCGCCATGACGTCATACAGTAGTTTGACGTTACGGCGCACTTTTGTTTCTAGGCAACATTCGACTGAAAGCGATTTCGAATTCCCATCATACATACATACATACATACATACATACATACATACATACATACATGCATATTAATAATCACAGGAGTTCAGGCCTCAGAAGTAATCATTGATCGTTTATTGCGACAGTGCTGTTTCGTATGGTCCGAAATTGTAGGACCACACTCATCAGGCAACTTCAACGATTGACCGTTAAAATTAACAGCTGGCAGTAAATATAGTGATGCGTTAAGAGATAGTATCTAGGTAACAGATGGATTGTGTCTTAGTTAAGTTACTCTACATACATACATACATACATTTATTTGATAAGTAGGTTTGTAATAAGCAAGTGTATAGCTAATGTGGACCTACTACTACTAAGTCTAGATGAGAGAACAAAGATTTACAATACAGTTATTTGAGATAAAAAGACTAATCAAATAATTTACAAATATGTACATTCAGGGTTCTTATTATAATTACTGAGCATTCCTTTTGAAAACTGATGTCCCTAACGTAGGTCTTGATCGATTTTAACTTTCTTTTGAAAGAGTGAGGGTTTTCAAGCTGTTTGATAGTGTCAGGTAATACAACAACATTTAACGATTTCCTAAGACTATAAGAAGAAGCGTTTTCTTAACAACTAAACTATTTATATCACCTAACTCTAAATCATAAAAAGCTCTATGCGTTATATTTAGAATACGAGAGCAATAAAAATATTTTAATGGCATCCAACTCGCATTTATGAGTACTGTTTCGTCTTCCATGTCTCTTGGTAGTTTGTGGATAAGTCTTGCTGCTCTGAGGTGGATTAGTTCTAGATCTTTCATCAAATAATCTGAGCAAGAGCCCCACACGGCCATACCATATAGTACGCTTGGGATTACTGTTTAGTAATAGAGTGTTTTCACTCACGTGGCCAGCATCTATGCAAATTTATTGGAACAAAAGAAAGCGTTTGCATAAGAAAAGAGTTCAACTCCCACAGGATTGGTTTGGGACACCAACATGGCCGCGGTTTTATTGTTTTGGGACACCAATATGGCCGCCGTGACGTCATGTGAAAACACTCTATAAATAATGTTTCTAGTGTGGCTTTTGGTAAAAAGCTTATGCGTGTTAACATTTTAACTTTAGAGCTGTATGAGGTAGAGACCGCTTTTACATGGTTGGCCCAGGAGAGTCTTTCATCAATGGCTATACCAAGACATACAGAGAAAGATCTGTATTCAATGGTTTTGTTTCCCCAAACTAAAGGCTTCAGAGGGCCAATAAAGGGTTTTGTATCCAAGAATACTGTATCGCATTTCCCTTCATGAATAATTAATCTATTCTTATGGCACCAGGTTTGTAGCTGATCTAATATCACCTGGAGGGCTATAGCAACCTCATCAGTAGTATTACCAGTGGTATAAATGGTAGTGTCGACAGCACACATGTAAACTTCGCCACTTCTAATGTTGTCTGGAAGATCATTTACATAAGTAATAAAAAGCCTAGGCCCCAACAGGGAACCCTGAAGGACCTCAATTTTTACAGGCTTAGATTCCGAAGATGCGCCATCTGTTTGTGTCAATTGGCTTCTATTTGCTAAATAATCCATCAACCATATCCACATATCTTCTGTTACTCCCAATGCCTTAAGTTTCTCACCCAGAATGACGTGATCTACACAATCAAAGGCTTTCCTAAAGTCAATGAACAATACGCCTACTTTAAGCCCATCGTCCAAGGCTTCTTTCCACACTTCAGTAAGGTGCAACAAAAGGAGGGCATAATAATAGCCACATCGTTTCTGCAAATGATCGAATAGAGCAGTAACATTCGGTGATATTGGTGGGAGGTCAGTTTGTACCGCAGTGCTCCCATTTGCCTTGTATTTTTCGGGGTATTTTTACACGGATCCCTTATAATCTGTTTCTATAACAGTTTGTAATTTTGTAGACTTTCAAAAAATGTCCTTCGTCTAATTTAATATGGCGCAGGGACGAAGGTCAACCTTTCGCGACGCTGCCGATCACTTTAGAGCTTAGCGACCTACAAAGTCCGCTTGCTTGCTTGGGGTCGACTTGTGGCAAGTCCTTTTATAGTAAATGTAATCGATTTACTTCCTGCTTTACGTGTGGTAGTACAACACGTATGTCGCATTAATGTTGCATTTTTCAAAGGCAATTTGCCCACCCCCCCCACCGGATTTGCCCTTTGTCCTTCTCGGATTCGTAAATTATTCACACATGTGCAAGTGAATAAGACTTAGAATTAGCCTGGAAGCCGTATTAAGAGATAGACCATTAAAAAAATTTATGGAGGGGGATCTTCGAAGTTTGGCCAAGATTTCCTACGTTTCGCAGGCGACGTTTGAGAAGTAGAATCTAACTTTTTAGATAAGGGACGGACTATTAGAGCTGTCACAGGGTCGTGGCGGGTTGGGGAAAGCGAAGTTATTAAAACTATTCGCATAGTGAAAAGGCTAGAAACAAATGCTGCGTTGACTCATGCAAACTGAAAACCTTCCACCCACTGCTCCCCCTTCCCATATAATTGTTCTAACGATTCATCCCTGTTGGTTACTATCACTACATGTCACCTAAAAGCCTATTTTATCTTACTGTTTTTTTGCCCACTCCTCAGCCTGGATTGGAGCACTAGCAGTGGGTTTGTCCTACTTTGCCGCACCTGCAGTGGGAGGCATGTCAGATTGCTTTGGTTGTCGTGTTATGACCATATGTGGAAGTCTCTTATGCGCAATAAGTTTGTTTGCAACCTCATTTGCCAAGTCAATCAGTCACGTGTTCTTGTCGTACGGCTTACTCTTCGGTCTTGGCGCGGCCTGCGTACGAACCTGCACTTTTCTCGTCGCAGCAAAACATTTTAATAGGCGACGTTCTATGGCAACGGGCCTGGTATCGTCTGGTACGGGCCTAGGGATTTTCGTTTTTGGACCCATTGCTCAAGAGCTATTAGGAGTTTTGGGTTTACAGAATACGTACCTTGTTTTAGCCGGTTTTGCACTGTTTGTTTGCGTCTTGGCCGTCTCATTCTCTTCTACAACTGAGGATACTGAAGAAAAATGTGATAAACACATTGACGAACATGTGCAAAAGGATCAAGAGGCGTATAGTGGGAAAAAACTTAAAACATGTTTTCAACGACGGAAAATTTTTGACTGTTCACCTTGGAGGACGCCCACATTTGCAGTTGTGACAATAGGTTATGCTGCTATCGCCCTCGGAGATTATGTGCCTCTAATACATTTGGTAAGTACAGTGTTGCTGTCTTATTATATTTCTAGTATTTATTGACACGCCAAAAACCTTACAATGCTTAAGGTCGACTATAGCTACCGAGCGTTGGGCCTCTACACATCTTCCCAATTGTCTGTTATAATAATGATAATAATAATATATAGATTTAGCCAGGGCTAAAAGCGAGGCTCTCATTAATAAATTTATAATTTAAATCAAACAATAAAGTGTCTCTAAAAATCCTGAGTCTTCGAGCTTAAAGCTGAAGTTTATGTTTTAAGCCGGCTTCCCGGTGTTTGCTTTTTTCAAAGACGAACTCGAGGCAAGAAAATCGCTCAAACTTTTCTTTTACAGCCAGAATTATAACTAATATTCTTTGAAACGTTTTCTTTCTATTTGCGGTGAGAAAATGTCTATAGGCTTTTTAAAGATCTGTAAGCTTATAACAAACCTGATACTCGGTCAGATCATTGTCTTACAATCTTACAAACGTACGTAATGCATCAGTCAATTCCACTTGCGCCCAGGCCCCCCGGGCTGACCCCCCGGAATTAGCATTTTTTTGCCTTGGATGGCAAATTGCCGGGGGTGGGGACTCTTGAGCTGGCAACTCCCCCGGGGTGGGGACGAAAAAAGAGGGCAAATGCCCCGTCCTTCGTCAACAGTGCAACATTTTTTATTGATCGCACAGTCCAATGTGCGATTTTTTGTTTCAATTAACGTCTTCCTTTGTAATAGCGCTAGGATTCTAATTAAGACTTCACGCCGCGACGACATGCACCAATTTATGGTTTTAGTATTGATATAAAATTATTGCTATTAAAATTAATAGAGCGCTGTAAAGTTTAGTATGTTATGAATAGTTTTATAAATATGAATGGGTGTTCTTCAAATAATATCAACAGAAATTTGATTCAATAATCAAAAAAACGTTGATTCACATCGATAGCTCCGATTTCGCTATGTAATCCTGGCTTGATAAGCAATGAAGAAATGCATACATACATGTAAAATCGAGAACATGCCTTTACAACCCTCTACAATTTATTCCTGTCCTTGACAGATGTGCCAATCCGCTTTTTTTCCAGTAAAACCTATGTAGTTATATTCTGATAGGAAACTGCGTGCGTGTCAAAAGCTCGGGAATGGCCCGGGGGTTGACAAATGCCCAGCCCCCGGGTTG